CCTAGACCTCGATTTTGAAACATAATTATCATCAAATTTAGCTATTAACTGATCGGTTTTGTCTTCTAGAGATTTTGTTGAAGTGAAAGATTTAATAGCTCAAGTTTCTGGATTTCTTGTACTTCTCATCATCCCATCGGCCATGCTTATTAATTCATCATCCGTTAATTTTGTATGAAAAGCTCTCAGTAATTGTTCAATGGAATTTGACAACTTTTTCAACCATACAAGAATACTGAAACTTTTTGTTATTTGACCAGAAGCTAAATCGGCCATTTCTCTATATAAACAGACAACTTGGCTTTTTATCACCCAATTCACACTCTCCAAATATCCTCAGCATTTTTTCTTCAACAGATATTTGGTACATTTTAATCAATTGGGTTTTCAAAATAGCATAAGATTTTTTATCGTTTCCAATTTTAAATGAATTCGAGTTTTCTGTAGCAACATTACAGTCCAACATTGAGAGGATTTTTCCAAATTTTATTGTTTCTGATGTAATGTTGTTGATATTGAAGAGAGTTTCAATAGCATTGAACCATAGTTCTGGCATCTTTTTCGAGAAAGGATGAAGAATAAGTTATTTCGCTCTATCAACTTGTTTGTCTGGATCGTAGGCAATCTTTGTTTCCTTTGATTCAACCTGATTAATATTCTCATCTGGACTGGGAACAAGTATGTCGTGACTGAAAGTAGCTTCATTGTTCTTTTCTTTATTCTAATTTCTTATTGGTATTTTTCAATTGTTCCATGACTTGAATGCTTGAAAATACAATTCAATACTTTTGGATTCGCAAACTCGGGATACCACTTGTATATTTCTGCTTCCAATTTAATTTTCAAATCTAATACTGCTCCATTAGTGTCGATGTCGAAGTGACGTAGGATTTTTGTAACTTGATCTTTGTTGAGCTGTTGCAGAAGTTCAACCATCTTTCATAGACAGTGTTAATGTTCTTTTTCGGGGTCACCAATTGTAGTTAGCAAATAACTACCAACAACATCTTCAAAAGAAATATATATTTGAGAAGTTTCAACAACTATCTCTATCAATTTCTGATAAATCCATCAACAACCTCCCACACATTGTTTTTTATATTTTGTTTCTTCTAAACACTTTATACTGGGCGCTAATGACTGTGATGATGTGTTACCACAGATCGTACATGGTACAATATATTCATCGACTATCTTGAAAAGGAAAAACCATCAACAACAACTATTGCATAGCGTTATTGGAGCATGTGTAGGACAAACTCGTGGAAAAATAGCCCCACCGTGGCAAAATTACATGAATTGGGCTTCGAATTACGTCGGCATCCACCGTATTCTGCAGATCTGGTCCCCAGCGACTTTTTTCCGTCCTTAGACCTTAAAATAATGCTCGCTGGAAAAAATTAGCGCCGATTAAGAGGTAATCGTCGAAATTGAGGCCCATTTTGATTTTGAAGCTGAAGACAAATATTACGATACTACTACGTACTATATTGAACAACAAAATCAAATTTATTCACTGTTAAACTGTTGCAACACGTCCTGATTACGGCTCTGTTTTCGTTTGACAATCTTGTATATTATGCAATGCATGGTGTCCATACGAATTATTTATTGAAGGATATATAGGAACAAAATTAAACGACAGTAGGCGTTTTAGGGAATGATCATTGAGTACGAGTTACAACTGTTCATCAAGAATTTTCTGATATCATATGACCTCGAAAGTGAATATTGTTTTTATAAATTGTTGGTAAATCACTAAACGATACGCAGTTAGTTTCACTCGATGTTATGACAGTCTGCTTTATGGGCAACGCAAATGAGAAAGTTCATAGCACAGTAAATGATTGGGTTTGTAGTGAAACCGAAGGTAGGAGGAAGAGAAACTCGTGATATTAACATTCCGGAGGTGTCATGGGCACAATTCATTATCAAACATTCACATCACCACCACTTCCTGGGACTTATTCACCTCTCAAAATGAAAATTAATGATTGTCTGGAATAAAAAAGCATTCATTCAAAATGCATTCAAGTCACTGAAAATGACTATGTTTCGTATCGTCAATATCTCAGAAACTGTTTGGAATATCAATACATAATTCAAAATGTTATAAGTTCCAAGTTCCTGCGAAGCCGCTATTGCTTTTCCGGCACTATACGATATCTTTACTTGCAAATATCATTGACATTCTGCACGAAAACCAATCAATTTCCATTCCAATACTTGGAACAACTCGAGTGGCTGAACATGGATGCTAGGCGCATACTGCATTGAATTTTCTCCTGAACCAGTGTTCCTCTCTGTGTATGATCTCAGCTTGGGGCCACTTGATGTTATGTTGACGGGCCCAAACATGATCTGTTATTCCTAATTTGCTGGTTTTCTCTCGCTGTGTGTGTTTTTTGTGCTCGGCAACAAGAACATTCAATGGCTTCTTAGTTTCACCGATATAGGATTTTCCGCACTCACAGGTTATCCGGTAAATGCAATTCTTAGAATCGCAGTCCGCGTTTGGTGGCCTGGTTTTCGTGAGGCTGCTACGGATAGTGTTACCGGATCTGAAGCAGGTTCTGATGTTGTACTTGGAACCAATTCTTCTCATCCTCTCCGATAATCCTCTGATGTAGGGAAATGCAAGCACTGGTTGTGACGGCTTCTCTTCCTTGCGAGGCTACTGCTGTCTTCTAGTCAAAGTATTTTCTACCATCGCTTTGGAGTAGCCATTCCGTTGAATATCCTTTTTGATGATGTCTAGTTCCTTCTCAAACTTCCCCTCGTATTACAGAGCCCAAAAGCAAGGTCTGATAGAGTCTTGATGATTCCTCTTTCAGTCGATTGATGATGGTTATGGTGGTTGAATTCGTGGTTCAGAACCTGCTTCAAATCCGGTAACACTATCCGTAGCAGCCTCACGAAAACCAAGCCACCAAACGCGGACTGCGATTCCAAGAATTGCTCATTTATTCTTGTTAAACAGTCTCAGATAAGTTGATAAATATCACACCACGCATATTAAATGCGAACCACGCCTCACAAATACCAACGTTTTCAACCGTCTGATAAATGGTAAGTTGTTCCCATTAGCAACAAACCGAGAATACCAAATCAGACTGATAATATCAAATGAAAGAAAAGAATTCTGCCCCATTAAACCTGATCGGCATGGCTGACCAGATTGCAGCATATCGGCTTAGGTCACCCATCGAGAATTTATGTAAATAAGATCTAATAGCAATTAAAAGTTGAACATATTCGGATGTTTCGAATGTTGCGGTGTTTTTATTTGCGTTGATGTTTCATAACAACACTTCATTGCCTGGGTTATGTAAAAAAACGAAGCAAGAGGGGAAAAAACGGACGAAAAATTGACGAGGGAATTCGAGAGACACATAATTTGACTGAAAAAGACACGTGGAAGCGGCTTACATAACAAGTATTAATGTAAGCAAATTTATGAAAAACAATAAACACAAAACTTGAGTATCGTATAAATCAGGACTATACAAGTTAACTTGTGGTTCTTGTCCAAAACTTTATGTTGGCCAAACGGAAAAAATCTTTTTCCATAGAATAAAAGAACATAGGAGTAGTTTTCTGAAGATAAAGACCAATTCAACATTTGCGAAGCATGAGAACCATGACTAATGAGATTTATTTTTCTGGACTTTTCCATTATGATAATACTATGTATTTTCTTTCAGTAAATATTAATTTTCAAATGTGTGAATATTAAGTTATGAGAATGAAGAAATTTCCGTTTTACATTTTCTCGCGTGCTCTCTTACACTTTTTATAATGGGTGTAAGTTGCTAGGGACCTTCCTCAATTTTTTTGAAAATTTATAGCAATATTTTGATTGCATTCATCGTCCTGGTGGTTTTGCCAGTAGGCCATGACGATTATCCACTTGACAAATGCCAAAACCTACCACCTGGAGCAAGTTGAAAATTACACAATATTGGCATATTTGGGAGTGATAAATTGAAGTGTATTGGGATACATGATGACGTGCTGGAAGTCACACGTCAAAAGATAAGACCTCGTTATTTTTTAGCTCCGACATCTGAAAATTATATTTCGTAGAAGGGCAATATCTGGTCAACGGAAAAACACATTTTAACAGATATTTTTTCAATACCCTAACCAGGCATTTTAATTCTACTATTTCTTCTCGACAGAACATTCCGATTATTTGAATAATAATAATTCTATTCCAGTCAGATCACATTTCAAATGATATTGGAACAGTCAAAAAAAGAGAACACAGGACATGTATACAGGGTGTAACATAAGTACGTTGAAATATTCAAGTGACGTATTTCTGAGGCAATTTTAAGAAAAAAAGTCTATATGAACTTGTGCCCGAAAATGCTTTGTTTCGGAGATAAGGGGTGTTGAAATTGAATTTTTTATTCGCTTTTTGAAAATAACTCTTGCAAAAAATAAGTTTTTTGCCCGAAATTCGGTACCCGGGGTTTTTTCACGTTAGAAATCATAATTTCGTATCAATTTTCATGTGACATCTAGAGGGCGCTGCGTACGCTGTCATTATTTATTTCAAATTGCTCTAACTTTTCTGACGGTAAACTTTTTTTGATTTGATTTGATTTTTTTGATTGATTTTATATGGGCAGTTAATGGGATTTTTGTTTCGGAAAAAAGTAAATGTTTGACATTTGTCTATATTTAATTGCAGTAGATTTATACCACACCAGCGAACAAAGTTAGATGAATCTAACTGTAATAATTTTGTATCAGTTGAGTCATGAATAACTTTAAACAACTTCAGGTCATCGGCAAACAAAAAAATTCATTATATAAAATAACATCTTTCAAGTCATTTACAAATAGGTTGAGAAGCAATGGCCCTACATGAGAACCCTGTGGTACACCTGATGAATCCATACATTTCCTTTCCAAATATTTGAGAAAATACCCAATTCCAACACAAAATAGTAAAATGAAAATGAATCCATACAACACTGGAGGTAGCTCACCTGAAGTCAAGAGATTATCCAAAAAAACAGGATTCACCAAACACTGCACATCCTCACAAGACACAGATAACTTCCACAATGCAATTCACTGAAGAAAATTCACTCGAGCTGCCAATCAGAGCATCGATGTTACACCGACGTGAGTCAATAATCAACAGTGTCTTCTTTCAAAATTGTATTAATAATGAACGCAAACAAAATCACAAACCGAGGGATCGAGAATCTTCAGCGGGACTCCTTCCATGGGAGACTGGCCACAGCTCACTATCAGTCCAACACGATTCTAGTTAGTCTCAAGCACGAGAATACTTCGAATCGCACGTAATCATAGGCGGCGAGGTAGAGTTTAAACATCCGCCATAGGAGGTCTGGTTTATTCTTTCAGGTACACCGTAACGAGTTTTCTACAGGGTCGATGAATAAATTGTAAACGTGAAATCTGTGCAATACCCCTCAAGCAAATTCTGTATTCATTCAAATCTTCAAGAGTGACTGTATGAAAATAGGTACATTATAGTTATGAAACATTTTTGCAATATTAGTCCAGTCATTATAGTAAGTTCACTTCGGAATTCGGGATACCCAGCTGTAAGTCTGTAAATACTTGTATATTGACACCCTGGAAGTTGTCTCAAAGCCTACATATGGTAGGGTGTACGCAACTATTAAATTTCAAGGTCAAAGGGCACAAAAATCGCTTTTTTACGCTTTTTTTTGTTAATATCTCATTTCCTATGGGTTTTTTGCTATTTGTATTTATTATCAATATTGTAGAATATAAAATTCTCTACAAATTTTGTTGAAAAAGTTTTTTCATACGGTGAACCGTTTTCGAGATTGAGGGCGGAGAGCGCGGGGTCACAGCATCACTTCAGGTCAACCGGTGCCTCCGGTTGAAAACGCGCCATATATAGTTGATTTTATTAAACTATTATATTATATTTTATAATTTTTTTCCTAACCTATCCACTTTTTATTCAGTATTGATTTATTTAACAACACTTACCTGCCCATGTAATTACAGAATTGTAAATGAAAATATAGCAATTATATTTGAATTTCAAACTAATTAATAACTTCTTACTTGATGAAAAAAACAAACAAATTATGAATTAATCTTTTTATTAAAAAATATCATTCAATACATTTATTTTCATTAAAAGTAAAAAAATGGACTAAAGTTTTGTAGACTTGACGTAATGCATATAACGAAGATGATCGAGACTTTTCACAGATTTCGGAGCATTATAGACTGCCAATAAGGTTTGAGTTCCACTCTCTAATAATCTCTGGGCCGAACAGTTTTCTTCCTCAAATGCTGCAGCTAGTTCATCCAAATTTGTCAGTTTCTCAAAACCTTTTAAAAATTATTTTTTCCCTTTTTAAAAAGCGCAGAAATTGTGTCACAGCCACTTAATGCGTGCAGACATGAAATATGTGTTTTGGGATGAGGATAATTATCAACACTTTTAGTCGAGTATATCTCCGTTTTGACATTTCCTCTCCCAACTTTTTTAAAGAAAATTTCTTGTTCGTAAGACATTGTACACCCAATTAAAATGACAAGTAAATCAATATCTTGTCCTATTAGAACTGTAGTTTTTTCAGACTTTGATTCTTCAATTGCAGTTTCAACTATAACATCCGCATCATCTCTGGCTTGTTTAGTAGTAATATTTGCAGCTTGTAATTTTTCAATTAACATATTAATGAGCATATCTTTGTTATTTCGATTTGATAAGAATTTTTCTTGAGTAACTGGTACAACCATTTTTTCATCGAAACAGACTTCATACGTTTTTGAAAGTGCAGCAGTTCTTCTCTGCTGCTCCATAGCTTTTACTTTTTTACTGTAGTCTGAATATCCGTCAAATAAGACAATTATTTTGGAACTTTAATGCCTTTGTAAGTAATTCATGTATTTATCAAAAATAATAGAAAAAGTATCTTCTCTGCTCCATACAATATGATGAAGAAGAAATCCGCCATCAATAATGAACGTCACATTATTTTCATTGGGAACAAAATCAACTGGGCTCATGTTGTCATACAATGACGATTTTGTTGTTTTTCTCATGCCATCATTATCAAATAGAGCTGTTGGATACAGACTCAATTCATATTGAAGATATTCTTCAAAATTACTTTCAAATTGTTTGCTGACAGTAATTCTTTGCAAGAGTAACAATGGATCCACGTGTTTTCGACCGAAGGCACCGGTTAACCTAAAGAGAGCCTGTGACCGCGCGCTCTCCGTCCTCTATCTCGAAAACGGTTCACCGTATGAAAAAAATTTTTTTAACAGGATTTGTAGAAAATTTTGTATTCTACAATATTGATAATGGAAACAAATAGCAAAAAACCCATAGGAAATGAGATATTTACAAAAAAACACAAAAAACCGATTTTTGTGACCATTTACCTTGAAATTTAATAGTTGCGTACACCCTACCATATGTAGGTTTTGAGACAACTTTTAGGGTGTCAATATACAAGTATTTACAGACTTACAGCTGGGTATCTCGAATTCCAAGATTCTTACCTAATTTAAGCTTAAATGACTGGTGTATATACCTTTGGAAAACGGCTTTAATTTGTCCAATATTAAAAAAGGTGGCTCTAGTGCTATCACAAACTACAGGGCAATTTCAATTTAATGTAACTTTTCTGAACTCTTTGAGATATGTTATGTACTCCCATATTCAAAAAGTTATTTCTACTACTCAGTGTGGTTTCGTACAACAAAGATCGTGTATGACAAATCTTACATGTTTAAATCAATATCTCTGTACGTACCTAGACAAGCAAAAACAAGTCGATTTTGTTTATTTAGACTTTCAAAAAGCCTTCAATCAGATAGACCATATGTTGTTTTCAGAAAATTGACAAAATTGGGACTCTCTAACCAACTGCTTACTCTAATTGAATCATATCTAGTTAACAGAAAACAATTCGTCGAACATGAATCTTTGAAATCGGCTCAGTACGTTGTTACATCTAGAGTACCACAATGTTCTAATCTGGGACCTCTTTAATTTTTTATTTTCATTAATGACTTGGCAACCTCTTTGAATATTCCGAGCCTACTATTTGCAGACGACCTGAAACTATATTATAACTATACATAACATTGTGGCACGATTTGTTACTTTTTGTGTTATATACTCGATTTTTCATTCCTCTTTTGAAATTCTACGTATACGAATATTTTATATATACTTTGTTTTAGCATTTACTTTTATACATTTCTATATTCCATTATATATTTATTTCATATATACTCTGTAATAATAGCATTTCCTGTAACTGGGTACTCCTGTTGGAAATAAATCGCTTTTTTTTTCACACTCCCAACTTAGAGTGCTAAATTGTGGTGTAGAAAATTATATCAATTGAAGTAAAATGTAATGGTTTGTACGAGAAAAAAGCGTTTGAAATATTAAACCATTTGACTTTCTGCCAGTAACTTTGTAATCTGTCGAAGAGATTTGAAAATAAGAAAAATCGATTCCTAGATTCCGATTTCGGTTTACGAAACTTCAAGATTAGTACCTATTAAATTCTTTAGTCCCTTTTGTTGGTAGGCAAAATAATCTAGGTGGATATTCTTTGAAAGATATATAACCTTCCACAATCTAGAAAATGAACAAAGCTGAATCAATGGAGAATCTGCTGAAGTTTAATAAAGGGCAAACTGAAAAGTTCATCCCCTACCAGTATAAACCACAGACGTATGCCATTAGAGCTATTCACAATTTGAGGCCAGAGTTTCGAAGAGAATTTCAAGTTTTGGAAACGGAAAAATATTGCATTACGAAAAGTCGAACTCTCAAAAAAGCAAAGTATAAATATTTGATTCTTTCCAATTGATTATCTCAAATAGTAGACAAAATTCATGAATACTGACAAATCATCTTCAAGAGGAAGATCAAACTGATCTTCCTCTTGACACGTGTCGAGGTATTAAAATAACGGTTTGGTGTTGAGAAAAATCTCCAGTAATATTCATTACTACACCAAAGGTACTAGGTGGTAGGAAATCATGAGGAAGAAAAGAGAGTTGAAACTTAGGAACATAGAAAGTTTAAAAACATTTAGATTTATAGATAAAAAATACAATTCTTTTCTTCTTCAAATAAGAACCTTTGACTCACTGAGAACTGAAAATGAAATCGATGTTGTTATTCATAGCTTTCGAATAAATAAATAAACCAATCGACTAGCACTACTGGCTGACAATTTTGTAAATGTTTCCCCTATTATCCTGAAGAAGTTTTAACCTGTCACATTGTGAATCGCTTCTAACTTGGCTTATAAATCAAATTTAAAAACCGTTCAACTGGTCTCAGTGAAACTCTGACAGGAAAATATCAGCAACTAATGATGTTAATTGTACTTCAAAGTAGCCAAGGCCTAATGTAAATCGTTTTGCCAGATACATATTAATTGTTTTATTCTAAACAGAACAAACCATTTGGTTACAATTGTACTTATCAATGAATTAACGTCGTAACAACACCTTGAACTTCTGTTCACCTTGGTTGGCCTCCTTTATAAATTTACAATTTACAATCGTCTGAAAATCTACAAAATATTATATTAACAACAATAATTTGCCAGGAAAAGAAAATCATCAATTTCATCATTTTGCATATTAGACATTTCATGCAGACACACTCCAGCACATGCACTCAAATTGTCACTCTTTGCCACGTGGAAACTCCCGTATATATCTTAGGTAATGCCTTCTCCAGAAATAATTCCAGCATTTGCTAATGAGAGCGATCTACTGTTTCGTTTTTCACAGCTGAAATTTATTTCTTTCAGAGTTGTCCACAATTTTTTTCTGTCTCTCATTGGAAACATACTTTGGTCTTCTTTCAAGGCTCCCATTATTTTGTCTGGGATCGGTATTTTTTTCTTAAAATTAAATAAATGTACTGTCCTTCAAACTACAAGTTTGTAATTTTCATTCCTGAAGACGGTTTTTGGTGATTTCACAACTTCTCATTCTTCTTCTTGTCTAATTCTTGAATTTACATATCGTTTGGAAACGGTATACGGATTTTGGTGTATGAGTGTTAGGTATATACAGTGCGAGTCTCGAACATGGAACAAATTCACTAAATCAAAGGTGTTGTTTCTTTCGAAAATATGCTCAGACATGTCGATTAGTATTTTGAAGTGCCCTTATTTCAAACAAAAAAAAATTATACAGTGTGTCTCAACTATGAGATATGACGTCATCGATAATTATCGATGACGATGATAACACAACA